CTCTATCCTTCCACGACTGCGTTTGCTTCCAAACTCTGGTTCTCTGCCATTATCTCTCACAGAAATGATGTCAACTCCTGCTATTCTCCACAAACCCACTTTCAAATCCTTGCTTTTTAGTCCTTTTAAGCTTAATCAAGCGAAACCCATCTCGTTCCATCGGTTTCCTGCTTCAAAATCTGATTTTTTTAGTTCAGAGAATAAAGCTTTGTCAAAGAACATGACTGAATTGGTCAGAATGTCTGCCTTTAGAGGCGGTAATGGTACTGACAGTGAAGAAAGTACAGGGTTGTTTCAGCAAGAAGCTGTTATTGATTGGCTTAACGAGTTTCAAAGTGGGCTGTTGGCTGATGGACTTGAAGCCACTCTCAACCGCCTGGTTTGTGTTTTTCTTTTTGTTTTAGTTGCCTATTTTTAGTGCTTTTATTCTTTGTAATCTAAGTTGTGTTTTTTTTCCTTCTTGATTTTACGGGTCTTTTTTATAATAACTATGATTTAACATGTCGACTAATTGGAAATGAAAGCATCAAATGTAGTTACTTTCAACGGCATTTGATGTAAGGCTATTACAATCAAAGATCAATCTGCTTGTCTTTCTAATTTCAGTTACTGTCTGTCTGCATTTCCTTCTTTATTGGTCAAGACTTGTGAAAATTGACACAAATTGCACTTCCTTTTTGTCTGGTTTGAAGTGAGACTTGTGCCCAAAACAGCTGAAATTGAGTTAATTGAGGTTGCAATTGAAAGATGAGACTAGTTCAAGGAAGATTGGTTCCTTTTCCTAATTCTCTACTGGAGCATTTGCATTGAGAACGCAATTTTTTGGCAATCATGGCATGAAGTTATTACAAAATCTTCTTGGCTGGATGGTGTTTAGCACTAGGAAATCCCCTATAGCTGCTGTATACCAGATTATGTTCATATTTTTGTTATATTTATATGAGGTTCAATTCAAGGAAGTGGCTATTTTTATAATTTCCAGCATCTGGCACCACATTTGACTACCACTGCCATTCCAATTTGTTTTGTTATTGTCATATTCTGCAATATTCCTCTGTCAGTATTTCAATTTTGGCATTAGAATGAAACAAATCCTCATGATGTTAGTCGTACGTTTGTTGTTGGTACAGAGCAAATGGCTTGTAGCTGCTCTATTCGGTGCTGTCATTCTTTGGAGGCATGATGCAGAAGCCGTGTGGGCTGTCTTGGGGTCAATTGTAAAGTTACATTCAAGGACGTGGCTATTTTTATAATTTCCAGCATCTGGCACCACATTTGACTACCACTGCCATTCCAATTTGTTTTGTTATTGTCATATTCTGCAATATTCCTCTGTCAGTATTTCAATTTTGGCATTAGAATGAAACAAATCCTCATGATGTTAGTCGTACGTTTGTTGTTGGTACAGAGCAAATGGCTTGTAGCTGCTCTATTCGGTGCTGTCATTCTTTGGAGGCATGATGCAGAAGCCGTGTGGGCTGTCTTGGGGTCAATTGTAAACTCAATCCTCTCTGTAATCCTTAAACGAATATTCAACCAAGAGAGACCCGATTCCACATTGAGGTCTGACCCTGGGATGCCATCTTCTCATGGACAATCCATCTTCTTCACTTTGGTGTTTGCTATTCTGTCAGGTAAGGTCCCCTCTTTACTTGACATGTTTGCTATTTATCATGCAACTGACTATTTTAGATCAGCAATTGCAAAATCTAACTGAAGAAGCTTCATGATAACTCCATCAATGATGATGGCATGCAGTGTTGTATTTTTGTTCTCCTCAAATGCAAAAGATGATCTGGGTTAGTTCACCTCAGTTTTAGATAACACCAGGAAGCCATGTAGAATGCGCTTGTATAGATATTTGGATAATTAATGATTGATTGGTTAACAAGTCTTTTCTCTTAGGACATAGAATAGATCTATGTAGTTGTGACAAGGGAAGTAAATGAAATGATATCTTATCTCCCCATCAACGTGAGCCTAATCTCATCTCTTAAAAAATGGTGCGACTTTCAGTAATCTGTATGTTTTCTCTTCTTACGATGCGGCTACTTACTGTTACAGATGCTTTTTGCATGTCTGTTTTTGGTCTTAATGAATGCTCCTTGGTGAATTGTCAATGTACTGACTTCATTGCTGACATGCATTGCTTGTTCTGTGTGCTGTTGTAGTTGTGGAATGGCTAGGAGTGAATGGATTTTCATTGATCCTCGGTGCAATTATCCTGGCATTTGGCACATATCTTGTAAGTATCATGTTACCCCCCTCATAATACAGTCAAATTCAGCATGCGACAAAAAGTTGGTCTCACTTTCGAGTTTATAAAAAACAATCAACAATGTAGAAACCTAGTGGCTTGCAAATTAGGAAAATCACTGCTGATTGAGTGAAGCCTGTGAACTAGTGCAAAATACTTAGTATGCTTTCCAAAGCCATTCCAAGACCAAATAATAGGGTATAGAGGTTGGAGCTTATGACAATTGTAGATTTTTTAACTTCTTCCCTATGATTTGGTAAGAATTTATAAAATCTATGTGGTTATGACCCCCATTGGTTGAGCAAGTGAAATGCCTTGGTCAAAGAAGAGATGGAGCATAGTAAATAAACCGAAATGGACAGGTTTCTAATTTTTATCTATCATCATCTGTTTTGTAGACATGGTTGCGGGTCTCACAAGGACTTCATACAATCAGCCAAGTTGCGGCGGGTGCTGCTGTAGGATTCATTTTCTCCATTTTTTGGTTCTGGTCATGGGATGCATTTGTGCATGAGGCATTTATTTCCTCTCTTTCGGTTCGCA